ATAAAGAGCGAACATATTCGACTATTATAGATACGGGACCGCAGCAGATAGCACTATTAATATGCAAACGATACTGACTATTGTCATGCACAAATTTAGTTAAGGGAATCGTTAGGAACATGCGTTAGGTGCTTCAAGATACGACCTCGATCAGTAGAGCTACAGATGGGTCAATTGCCGGCATGGGCATTCTCGTCACTGTGACGTGGACTATGCAGACCAATATTTAATAAAACAACGCAAAGTTATAACAAAGGCGTGCATTCGTATACTTCGTAACAAAAACGGTGCATTTAGAATTAGTTTCCGACCTCGGTACCGACGCATTTTTGAACTGAATTAGTTTCTTTACTAGAACTAGAACTTTAGAATTAGTTTCCGACGTTTTATTGCACGGAGAGATAGATGCCAAAGAATTACCTCAGACAACGACCGAAACTTTGTCAGAGCAAGAAACGAACTGAGGAATTAGGCATCATTAAACAACACAGAATACAACAAGCAAATAGCAACATTCCTTTTTGAGGGACTCTAGGAGAGTGCGGTAAAGTCAGCAAAATATCACCTAAAACCAGTCATCGGCGATTAATAATTAATGATCGAAAAATTTTATACACTATTAACGCAGGTAGCATCCTGTTTAAATTCCCATCCCTTAACTCTATTATCCTCCATTATCCTTTAATCCAGAAGACTTAAATCCACTAATCCCATGTCATTTCCTAATCAGCGATGTATTAACCGTACTGCTTCATACAAACTTACTGAACATCAATAGCAATAGATCGTTATCAATTAATCCAGCAAATGTTACAGCATTTTTAGCAGCGATGGCGAAAACAGTATCTGCATCAATTACAGCAACGCCATAAATGCCGTAATTCATCATCGGAAACCATAGCAAGGAAAAAGTCGATGGTCATTCGAGATGGCAATCTATCTCTTCTACAGTGGCGGTTCGGTAGAATAGTAGAACTGCACCCTGGTGCAGATGGCATAATCCGCCATAACCACAGTACGCACAGCGGGCAGAATTCTAAAAATAACAATGACTTTGTGACTTTTGTCAATCGAGAACAACCAACCCATAACGAAATCCACAGAGCAACCAACTCAAAACTCGCTATATAAATCATATGTAAGAGAAGATCACAACACTGTAAATATTTGTACAATTATAGTTTATAGTTTAACATTACTCAATTAGATGTAATTACAAACTCAGTAGTTAAGATAATCAATTGTGACCTAGTTTTATTTTATACATAGTATAACACTTTGTACATAGTATAAATCGTACATAAAGTAAACCACTGTAAGCATTCAGGAATAAGATCGTAGGAATAAGATGGGATAAACACATTAGGATCCTATAAGATTAGAATTTAATATTGTTTATCTGGTGGTACAAGACAACATGGAATATATATTGGCGCTTAATCACAGTATTATTAGTATTAAATATGCGATGCACAAAGTGGGCGGCCAAGTGTAGATCTAGGGAACACAGCTCTCTCTAGCTTTGGTTCTACAGCCAAGAACAAAACATATAAATTGTAATGTAAGGGACACATCTCTGGGTAGTACCGTTAGGCCCATGAAATAGTTGTAAATATTACTTTATGAGACTGACCTTGCTACCTCTTGGCTCAAAATGATTTATCTTTCCTATTACGTGATTGAAAAGGACACAATAAAGTCGGTCTTATAAGAGGTCGACACGGTGTAAAATAAGGCAATTGTTTAAATCAGTC